CACTGATTTTCAGAAGATGTTTGACACATTGTTCAGTAACTTTATTTATGTTGAAAGACCAGGATGTTGATCCAGTTCCTGTACATACAGTCATTCCAGAGCTCTTCAGCTTCTCTTTAGGTGCTGAGTCAATTGATAACTCATAGTAGGAAACTCTATTAAAAAAAAAAAAAATTCAATATCACCATATTAAATTATTGAAAATATACAGGTTTCATTTTTAGATTAAAATTTATGTTTTACTCTTAGAAAAAATAATATTATTGTTACACAATTCGATACCTTTGAATGTAGAGAGTTTGTGGTTAAATTATGAACAAAGGCCGTAGAATAAGAAACAATATAGGACATTAAGTCAACAATATTAAATTAGAAAAAGAAAACTAGTTTTTCAAATTGAAAAAAAATTAATTTGTGAGCTTTTTCAGCAGCATATCAAACAGAAAAAATAGTAAATTAGCTCTAAAAGAATAGAATAAATGAAGAGAATAAAAATGAATATTGAAATGAATTATCAATACAATATAGGAAAAAAACACGCAGAATAGTCACATGAGTTTTCACTGTTTATATTACTGCCAAAGTTATTTGTCTTTGAGGCATCAAGCTATATTTTTATTATTCCTTTAACTAATAACTCAAGCTTTTACAAAATAATTGTTATGTTAAAGGGCTAAATTATGCTCTATTTTCATCATATACCAAATTTCAGGCAAGAAAAAGACATATTCAACAATAGCTGAATACTGATTAATGGTTGAATTACAGTATATCCCAGTGTATAAGTCGTTTTCCTATTTTTGATTATGAGATAGCAAATTTCTGGTGTGTTAGATGTATATGTTAACTGCTAAAAATTTAGAAAATTTAAAATAAATAAATAAATAAAAAAAAATCTACAAAATGTTTTAAAGTTAAAAAATATTTCACATTGTTCATCCGCATGCGATACATTTGCTCTCAAATAAGGATTCCTTGAGGCGCCCCCTTAAAGTTGCATTAACTTTGTCGTGTTGGTCGTTCGTTTTTGGCATCATGTGTCAAATTAAACTGAACACATAGAAAAATGTGGATTCAAATGATATTATACAATCTTTTATGATGGAGGAGCAGACAAATTTTTCTTGGACTCAGCAGATGATGCAAAGTGAGACCTGTATGACAAAACAATTAACATTATTGATTCCAGACAGATGATGTTCTGAAATCTTTAAATTTGTAGCTTTATTGTGTGTTTTAAAAGGTTCAATTATGATATATCCTTCGAAATATTCTTGAAAAAAATTATATAAAATTTCTTATTCTTAATTTTTTCTCCCTAAATGTGATTTCCCCCCCATAAATTTCTAAAAAATATTTATACTAAAAGAAAATATGATGAGATAAAAAGCAAATTTGACGCCCGGTGGCTGAGCGGTAGCGCTTCGAGCTGTCGTGCCACAGGTCCTTGGTTCGACCCTTGGGCCGGGCAAGGCCGACTCAGCCTTTCATCCCTTCAGTGGGTCGATAAAATGAGTACCAAGCATGCTTGGGAACTAACACTGGGGGTTCCGCGTTCGGCTGACCACCTGACCGGAACATATGCTCCCGCACCCCAGAGCCCAAGGTCAAGAAAACTGAGATGGGCACAGTCGGCCTTGGCCCTCTTAATGGGCTGTCGCGCCACTGAGTTAGTTAGTTTTAAAAAGCAAAATTAGACTAAACAAACTAGTAATAATTATATGAAAACAGAAAAAAAAAAAGCTTGTCAAAATAAATTATATTTACATCACTCTATGGTTAATTTACTTCTAGCTTAAAGAACATTTATGAATGTAGAATTTACCTTGAAGATAAACTTTCTCCAACAAAAACTTCATTCAACGCTCTTACAGGCAACTCGTGAACTGTTTTGGATTCCAAGCGAGGAGATTTTGCTGGGGGAGAGTTTAATTTATGGTGTCCTTCAACACAGTCTAAAAAACGGTATTCTGGATATTGTAGCTGCTGGTCATGTAATTCTGTGGGCTGGCAGAATGCATGCTCACCTGTAAGAGTAACTCTAATTCTTTGTCTATGCATCCACCTATGGAAGATTAAGAACATAAAAACACAGTCCTTAGAAGAAAATGTACTAAAATTTTTTATCTCACAATTATAAAATTTGTTTATCCAAAGATAATTCCATGCAAAAAATTTGTTTCAGTAAATATTTAGTATTTTATTTAAGAATGGTCCAAAACATTTTAAAGGGTTAAGGTATNAAAATTTTTTATCTCACAATTATAAAATTTGTTTATCCAAAGATAATTCCATGCAAAAAATTTGTTTCAGTAAATATTTAGTACCGTATATTCCGGCGTATAACGCGCACTTTTAATACAAAAAATAACATTGGAATTTACGGGTGCGCGGAATACGCCGAATATAAAAAATTATAGATTAAAAAAATTTAAATATAGAAAAATACTATTATTTTAAGGAAATAACATACCTTTACCTATATTCTTTATTGATTTTCGTTATTACATAAATAGTTCATTATATTCCTCTTCCGTTATTTCTTCAGGCACGTCATTACAATCTGTTTCGTCTTCATCATGTGTGTTACCCTCATCCATAAATAAACAGTCATCCGTCCAGATTATTTGAAATGCTGCATTTTTTGAATGATTTTCTCCCCATCTCAGGCTTAATTTTATCCCATGCTTTTAATATCCATTCGTACACTGTTTCCAAACTTGCATGAAGCATATGTCCTCCTTTCGTAAAGGTTTTCTCACCCTCCAACATCCAAGTGTTCCACTGTTTTTTTTAAATGGTTTGTTTAAGCAGACGTCCAATGGCTGAACTAATGGTGTCAATCCGCCCGGAATAACTGCCATATCGGTGTTACATTCCTTAAACAATTTTTTTTGTGTTATCTGTAAGGTGGGACCTAAACATGTCCCACACTAAAAGGCTTTCTGGTTTTCTTACGCAACCAGGACGGATTTGCCAGACAATTTTTACCCACAATTTAACACCACTTTCGTCCATCCAGCCTTTTTCGTGGACATGAACAAAAATACCCTTTGGAGAATTACATTTGGGAAAAGTTCTTCTCTTAAAAATCTAAATTTTCGTGCGCGTTATACGAAGAGTATATCTCAAAATTTAAAAAAAGTAATTAGAAATTACGGGTGCGCGTTATACGCCGGGGCGCGTTATGCGCCGGAATATACGGTGTTTAATTTAAGAATGGTCCAAAACATTTTAAAG